AGTACAACTCGATCAACAAATAGAATATAATCACTCAAATATGGACTACATCAATACTATAAACATTGTCTTTAATTCCTACGCATTTAACATGTAAACAACCTAATTACTCACACACAAATTTAAATAAACAAAATTCAAACATATTTAAAGGAAATATATTGTCTTAAAATAGCCGTGGGCAGTGAATGGAGGTCAAAGGTTTAGGGTTAATGAAGGAGAGAGAGGTTGAATTGTTTAGAATTCTGTCTGTTATTAATTCTATAATCAAATAAATTGGCCGGAGGTCTTCATGGAGGTCCCAGGAATCCATGTTGAAATAACACTACAAAATGTTACAAGACGGAATCCAACAATTAGGCCACATCAAGTAGAATGTTTGTTCTTTGGGGTCACCTATTAAAAATTTGGCCTGCGATTTCTCCAGGTAAAAAATTAATTTAAAAACAAAAGTACTTAGTTGCTCTTCTCAAAAACTTTGGGGTCACCTATTAAAAATTTGGCCTGTAATTCTCCAGGTAAAAAATTAATTTAAAACCAAAAGTACTTAGTTGCTCTTCTCAAAAGCTTTGGGGTCACCTATTAAAAATTTGACATCCGATTTCTCCAGGTGAAAAATGAATTTAAAAACAAAAGTATTTAGTTGCTTTTGTTTATTTTATTTTACATTATTCACAACCATATTTTCATAAATTGGTTATGTAACTTTTGTTATATAGAAGAATAAACTTTTATTGCATAAAAAACCTTACAAGGTTATGTACATATACAAATAAAAAAAACAAACAAATGATACATACATTTACATAATTATACAAAGATACACATACAACTTTAAAATATGTATATATATTTTTTTGTAACATAGGCAATAGGCAATAGGCCTTGGATGGCCAAATGGGTAGCACGTGCGCACTGTATCATACGGGCTGTCATTGAGTCAACTGGCGTGGTTTTGATTCCCTGGTTGTATGTGACAAGGAGTAGGGTCGCCTGTCCAACCGCGTGGGTTTTCTCCGGCGGGTCCTCCAGTTTCCTCCCACTGCTAAAGACCCCCTACGCACAACCGAATTATTGAAATAAAATTAAACCATATGTTAGTCCTGAAATGACCTAGTTTGTGTCGAGTGGATGTTAAACCCCATCTCTCTCTCTCTCTCTCTTTCTCTCTCCTTTTCTGAGAATACAAGATTGTTTATAAAAAAGAAATTGATCAATACTCATGATAACTATAATTTAAATTGGTTTCACCTTATTATGAGATTTCTTCGATTCTCCTGGTTATACCTTACAGTAGTCTTCGTGGAATGTTGCCAGGAACCGGTGCCAAGTTTTTGCCCAGATATTTTTAGTTGTGTGTAGGTGTTTTCAGTGTTGTTGATGTTGAAAAAGGGTGGCACCGTTTACTGCCTACATTTTATTACTAACGACAGAAATCTTTAACTAGAAGCTTCCTTCGTTTTATTGTTAAGTACAGAAATGTTCAACCCAAATTTTGGTTAATCTTAGGTTTAAAAAATAAGGAAGGGTTCCAATAATTTAGTCATCGTTAGAATTTAGCGACTCAGTATCTTGTGGAATATTGACATTATCTTGTACTAAATAAGGTTAAGCAAGTTTTTACCGTTGAACCAATGAAGATTTTGAAATTCTTTTGAAATAAGTTAAGCAAGTTTTTCTGTTGAACCAATGAAGATTTTGAAATTCTTTTGAAATAAGTCATGATTGTTTATCTTTTTGGTAGGGTCTGTATATTCTAGTATTTTCTATGTTAGTATAGAAGTAGATAAACAAAAGCGATACTGTTTTCATCATCAGATATTATTAAATCAATGTTTCGAGTTTTCTTCCTCAGATATTATTAAACCAACGTTTCCAAGACGTACTCTCTTCTTCTTGACGATGAAAACAGTCTTAGTGTCGCTTTTGTTTATCTACCTTAATAAATATCTAGTGAAGGAAACTTCCGTATCGGATCCTTCGATCCATTGTTTTCATATTCCTGTTGGATGCGGATTCTACACAAGTTCATGTTTCGTGGGATTCTGTTTGTTTTCAACTGAATCAAAGTCCTTTGTTGACTCAAAATCGATGAGAATCATTTGTTCCCGATTTTTTTTTTAAACTTTGAGAGATTTTGTTGAAATTTGTTACACTGCTCACAATTTTTTTTTTTTTTTTTTTTAAAACTTTGAGATACATTGTATTTGGTTGAAATTTGAATTTCTCGGTATTCCATTAATCCTTGACTAAAATCTTATAATTTATTTCCAGAAAAAAGGAAAAAGTCTGTTGGAGACACAAGATGTATTGATTTAATGAAATGAAATGGTGTCTAACGTTGTACTTTTAATATTGATTCCAATATAACATATTGATGATTCAGATTAAATTTTAATTATTAAAATCCTCATTTTCATCGAACAACACCTGCGATTCTCATAATAAAACATGGGTTATGATTTATCTGTATTAGCAGCAGACGGCGTCATTGTTCTCAATTCTGTTTTTTCTGGCGTTTAAATGGAAAACTGTTGCTGCGTATTGATTCCAACAGGTTGGTTTGTCGTCATGACATTGTCACGGTGCTCTTAACGCCATTATTCCAGCGGCTGCTTCAAGTTTTTGTTCAAGTAGTTTCCAGAAAATTTTTCCTTTTTTTTTAGAAACTTAATTTCATTGATATTGAAAATTTTGATTGAAATTTGACTGAAATTTTCAATATATTCTTATTTCATCATCTATTTTTGTACTGTTATAGCAAGAATGGCTAAATCCTTATAAAAATCTCCCATAATGTATCTTTAATGTCCCTGATTGGCATTTGAAAGTGGAATCTCTAAAAGGAATATTGCTCCAAAAATGGTTCAATTTCGTTCAATATATGTACAAAAATAATATAATGAATTGAAAATTTATTAATATTCGGCATCCTCAGGAGACGATCTATAGTCTTATGAGTTTCGATGAAATATTTTGAAGGGCCTCTTTGTGATCTGATTGCATCATCCAAGCTAGTAGAATATTTCATGTTGATGCTGAACAAAAATGTAGAACTATGGTATTAAAATGCTTTAGTATACCAATCAATTATGTTAACTTTGTATCCTGCCAAAGAAAAGCATCTAGTTTTTCAGATGGGGACAAAAAACTTAGCTCAGGTATATGCATTGGCATGCCTTGACAGTTGAAGTAAAGTTGTTGGCCAGGCAAAATTTACCTCATAGCACAGATACCTTATGGCATATGCCTGTCTGTAATAGCCTGCCTGTGGAATTCATTTCATTTCCTATAATTATGTGTGTTTGTTTGTTTTCTCCACAGATTATTATTCAGGTGGTAGAGGGGGGGTGGGGGTAGGTGGCCAAATGGTTAGCATGTGTGCGCTGTATCATAAGGTCTGTCATTGAGTCAACTGGTATGGTACTTTACAACAAAGAGTAGGGTCGCCTGTCCAACCTAGTGGGTTTTCTCGGGGTCCTCCTGTTTCCTCCCACTGCTAATGACCCCTACGCGCAAGAAAATTATTGAAATAAAAATGAACCTTGTGTTAGTCCCGAAATGACCTAGTTTGTGTTGAGTGGACGTTAAACCCCATTCATCTCTCTATTTATCTTTCAGGTACATATTATGTACCTAGTCTTCCAATAGACTTTCTTTTTCCTTTAGTGGACAACTTCTATACTTTTTCGGATAACATCTGTATATAAATAAATCAAATCTCAAATCCCTAAAGTCGATTGGGGAAATTAAATTAAGAAATACTCAGGAGAGTAAATATATTTGCACAGTTTTCATTTATTCAAGAGAAAAAAAAATTCCATCACCCATCGGAATCATTTTATTGATTTTCATGAGAGTTTAATGAATGAACGAGCCCGAAACAATAGACCTTTAAAAGACGTGGCATCAATTATTATTATTATTATTATTAGCTGATATTGATTCTGAGAACCATGACTCAATGTTGAGTCAAGCGCTGGTTGAATCATGACTATCATGGGTTTCGAAATCTTGTCCAATAATTACGAGCCACCTTTGACTGATCGCTGATTGGTGGGGATAATATTGAATGGTCAGTGTTGATGGTAGAAACCATGACTATACAATGACCTGTGAGGCGTATAATTGTGGATGAATGATATAAAAGATCGAGGATGACTGATGATTATCCCCATTTCATTTAGAACACTGGTCGTTACTGCCTACAATACGTTAATAGAGTTTCTTGCACTAACTACATGCTGGACGTGAGAGTGTGTGTGTGTGTATCTGTTATAACACTGAGTCGTCGTTTATCACTGTACATTCTATATCTTCACTGACTCGGATATCTTATACCCTAGCTTATATACTATGTAAGTTTTAACACTTATAACTCAACGGCTTTTAAAATTCAAATATATTAGTTCCTAGAAGTCGGCGCCACTGGTGCCACAGTCAAGAATCAGAATCGTTCTCTTGTCATTCAGTCGATACTGAATCAGAAACCGGATCCTAATTGTCTCAATTCCAAATTGTATTTTGATTTTCAATTCTGATTAACTTTGGCTGGAAATTTGTCAAGGGAGTGTTTTTTAGTGTGCGGAATAGAAGACAGTTCTGGCAGGAGTCCAGACCTCGGGGCGAAACATTTAGTTTATTTTGGGGATCGTAATCTTTATGCTTTAAGACTTGGCAAACGTTTTAAACCTCAAGTAGCTCGTGAAACATGTGGTTTGACGTTCAACTCTGTTTATATGGATTGTATCACGAACTGACTTTGTGATTGTGACTGTGAATTTCTTTTGTTTTTTATGCCGACATTGTTAACTTTTATAAAAGTTGTTTTTGTTCTCTGACTTGAAAAGCCGAAGAGTTTATTTTCTTTACTCCACATCTTCAAACTTCCGTTTGTTAACGAGTGGACTTGTATGGTGATTAGTCATTATGTTGTTTACGATGTTGAAAGTTCTGTAAAGAGGATGTTAAACTTATGATTATTTTCTTGTGTTTTCCAGCCGACCATATTTGGAACTATTGCGCACGATCAAAGTCCTTGTGAAGACAAAAGAAGGGTAAGTACTAGTAGATTTTTTTTTTCCGTTTAATTTAGGGAAAAAGGTAAACAGACATATAGTGTTGTCACGAGTGAGTTGGGGGGGGGGGGGGGCAAGGTGGTGTAGGGGGGATGAATGGCAAAAATTTAATACATGTTCTTTAAATCATAAGGTCTGTTTATATTTTTAGATAAAATGACTCCTGAATCCTGGGGTGGTTGGGTGGAACTTTAGAACATAAGGTCTGTCATTGAGTCAAGTGACGTTGCTTTAATCCCAGGCTTGTATGTGACAAGGAGTAGGGTTGCCTGTCAAACCTCGTGGGTTTTCTTTGGGTCCTCCAGTAAAATTGAACCCCATATGTTAGTCCTGCAAAGACCTAGTTTATGTCAGTGGACATTAACACCCCCTCCCCCCCTCTCCCCCCCCCCCCCCCCCCCGCCCAATTCCTCTCTCTCAGGTATTATTTAAAGAATAATCAAATATTATGTTTGACATTTAGAACATATAACAATAAACCATATGTTAGTCTCGAAATAATCTAGTTTATATTTAATGACAATCAAACCTCATTTTTCTCTCTATAATTATTTTTCTATTTTTGGTATTATGTAAACAATAATTAAATATTGTGATTGACATATGGAACATACATGAATTCAATAAAAAAAAAAAAATAATGACAAAAATCTATTGGTGTGGAACGGTTGAATTAATGTAGGACATGAAATATCCATTAATAACAAAATTTACTTGCTTTAATTGTATTGATCTATTGATCTGGCATTGTTTGATTTGTTCATTGGTTTTGTTTTATTTCTAATAATATTAACAGAATGACGTTAATTTGTTTGTACGGGTGATAGATCACATGGATATTATTTTATTAAAGGGGTTTTTACGTTTTGGTCAAAGTTAGTAAAGTGGGGCCTGATTTCAAGAAAAAAATATATTTTAAGTATTTTGAGAATGCAGTCTTTTCATTTGCCATTAGATAAACTTTGTGCTAGGATTTTAGTGTTTAGCCAATGAGCCATCCGTATTCTTAGAATATTTTGTTAAACCTAGAAAAAAATGTATAAAATGGAAGATGATCAAATCCTTGCTGCTCAAGAAATACCATGAACAGTTAAATGAAACCCTTCGAAAAATATAGTTGATCCCCTTTAATAGTTGATCTAGAAATACCAATTGTTAATCTCTACGAAGCAAAACCCCTAAAAAAAAAAATAATAGTTGAGCTCATTTAATTAAGGAGTGATTGAATGTGTTTGTGTTAATAGAAAAATAGTTGAGCCCCTTTAAGAAGTGATTGAATGTGTTTTTATGTGTTAATAGAAAAATAGTTGAGCCCCTTTAAGAATTGATCGAATGTGTTTATTGTGTGTTAATAGAAATGTGTTTTTGTTTGTTATGTAAAGACTAGTTGATAATCAATATGGTGGCCATACAAAACCTAACCACGATGATGATTGATGAATGGACAATAATTACCATTGATTTCCATTTTTTTAAATTTAACAATGGCTGCACTTTCCGCAGTACAGAATTTATAGCGAAAGGTTAAAGCTGAGAAGGGTGGGAAAGTTTCTATTTCCACGACCCGGTTAATATTAATAGAATAAAATATGTGCTTGTTTGTAAATGGCGTGTCTGCAACAACTGCTTCAAGCTGCACAATTAATTCAAAAATTCTAAAATTGAAAACTTCAAAAGCAACAATTGTTTATTCTACCTTTATGTAGAATTAAAATAACAAATATGCAATAAGCTTCAAAGGATTTAAATTTAGATTTGAGAAAATGAAACATTAAATGAATTAATTTCCCTTAGGTTGGAATATATTTAATGGAAATGTGATGATTTGACAGTGCAGCATTTTACAAGATAAATGCAAGGGGATACTCATGGTGATAGGTGCTGAAAAGCCTGAGAAGAAAGGAAAAATTGGGCAAAAAACTAATTGAATCTTAACATTAAAACTTGTCCGAAATGTTTACACCAATAGATTTGTTCATTACTACCAAGGAGTTCATCTAATCTTCACTGGTTATAAGGGTTGCTTCTCAACAAAATATATATTTGTGCTCTCTGCCCTGGAGGGGGGTTGAATGGCTGAATGGTTAGTGCGTGTACGTTGTATCATAAGGTCTGTTATTGAGTCAACTAGCATGGTTTCGATTCCCCGGTTGTATGTGACGAGAACTAAGGTCGCCTCTCCAAACTCATGGGTTTTCTCAGGGTCCTCCGTTTTTTCCCCACTGCTAAGCGAATTATTGAAATATAGTTGAACCATATGATAGTCCCAAAATGACCCAGTTTGTGTTGAGTAAACATTAAACCCCATCTCTCTCTCTCTCTTTCTCTCTCTCTCTCTCTCTCTCTCTCTGGAGAACACAACCCCGGAACAAATAAACAAACACAGTTAATTGGTGAGAAATGTCATTATTAAACGATGATGACTGCAGCATGGGTTCTGACAGTAATTACACATAATTAGATTGTATTAAAATATGTGCGTAATAAAACTAGCAAACAATTACCCGAAGCGCCTCATGCTTCTCAGGATCAGATAATTGTTGGACTGTATCAAAACTCTAAAACTAAAATTGAATTGACTTGGCCTTATAATATCAAAACATATTTCTGTTATTAGCTAGGCACACTATTCCAGACTAAAGGGCAATTACAAAAATGAAATGAAATAGGGTTTTAGGTTTGATTGTTCTGCTCCGACTGGGCTTATGAAGACGAGCGTATGCCATGCAGTGTGCTATGAGGGAAATTTTGCCCAGGCTGTGTCGCTTCGGACTACTCTTATTTCGATCCCCACTGTCCAAGGTTCTTTTACCTACGTTAAATATAAATACAGAAAATGACTGTTATTCTTCTGGCGCTTGAAGTGTTAAAAACATTTTGAGCAGTTGAGATATTTTTTTGGGGTGAGTAAACATTCCATAAACATGTTGTTAATGAATTTTATAAACGTAATAATATTTCACGGTATTGGTAGATTGGTAGATTCATATCTGGTGTAAATTAGTATCTCAGTGGGGAATCTTTCATCATTCTTTTAAATTGATCTTTAAATACTTTGTTTATGATATATTTGTAGTTTCAAATTTCAACCACTTTGACTGCAATATGGACAGTTTTAAGCAATAATTGTATTCCAATGAATTGTGACCTGTGTATGTTTATAGGTATATATAGGAGGGTTGGGTGGTCGAATGGTTAACACCTGCGTGTTGGATCAGAAGGTCTGTCATTGAGTCAAGTGGTGTGGTTTTCGATTCCCAGCCTGGAGCCGACATGAAGGGGTGTCATGCACTCCCACAACCACCTGAAGACATGGCCTCCCCTTTCAATTCCCTGCTTGTTCGTGACAAGTAGGGTTGCCTTTCCAACCTCGTGGGTTTTTTTCTCCATGTCCTCTGATTTCCTTCCACTGCTAAAGACCCCTACGCGTAAGCGATTTATTGAAATGAAATTGAACCATATGTTAGTCCCAAAATGACCTAGTTTATCAAGTTGACTTTAAACCCCACTCCTCTCTCTCTCTCTCTCTGTATAGGTATATAATTATTTATTACTGACCTTGATAAAGACTAGAGAAGCCTAGACGAAGTATTGTCACGCAGTAATAAGAGGTCATTGTATTCCATAAAAATTGGGGGTGGGGGGTGGGGTGGATGGCTGAATGGTTAGCACGTGCGCGCTGTATCATAAAAGTCTGTCAATGAGTCAACTGGCGTGGTTTCGATTCCCCGGTTGTGGGTTTTCTCCGGGACCTCCGTTTTCCTCCCACTGCTAAGACCCCTATGCGCAAACGAATTTTGGAAATAGAATTGAACCATATGTTAGTCCCAAAATTACCTAGTTGGTGTTGAGTGGACGTTAATCCCCATTTCTCTCTCCCTCTCTCTCTATAAAAATTGTGAACTGTGTATTACTGTAATCTAATTGTATTTTGGTTGCCAACTAACATAAAAGACTGGACCCTGTTGGATTTTATACATTGATAACAATATTACCTCTTTAAGAGCCAATCTCTTTGCTAATTAACATTTTGGAGAAAATGAAACCTTAAACCATGATTTATTTTGTATCCAATATAGCCACCTGTTAGATATAAAATAAAAAACCCACAGTCAATAAATATATATCTTGTGTTTATTTAGAACATTTCCAATAACATGGTTGCTGCATGCTCCAAATACGAATTCTAGCCAAACATTTATACAACTGGTTTAATAGAAATTAACTGATATATACATGTAGAAACACATTTAATACTACTGGCTCTAAAATTAATATAAATTAACCGATATATATGTAGAAACACATTTAATGCTACTGCCTCTAAAATTAATACAAATTAATTGATTATGTAGAAATCCATTTAATACTACTGGCTCTAAAATTAATAAAAATTAACTGATATATATGTAGAAACGCATTTAATACTACTGGCTCTAAAATTAATAAAGATTAACCGATATATATGTAGAAATCCATTTAATACTACTGGCTCTAAGGTTAATAAAAATTAACCGAGAGAAGAGCGTGAACTGTAACTTTAATGAAAGTTTAACGAGTTATAAGAAAGTGTGTTAGTGTTTATCTTATTTGCATTTAAAACTATTGGCTCTAAAATTAATAAAAATTAACCGAGAGAGGAGAGCGTGAACTGTAACTTTGATGAAAGTTTAACCGAGTTATAAGAAAGTGTGTTAGTGTTTATCTTATTGTAGGTTGCTATGATCCAGGAAGTCATATGTTTATTTCAGTTTTACATCAATAAACGAGCTATATTGTACCTGGTCCATTTCACGGAGAGTCAGTGTGACATTGGCTCACACTATAGGTCTAAATATTTCTTCATGATTTTCATGCCTAGTTTACTCTTTTGTGTGTCAGTGGTGTAAGACAGAGGCCGTGACAATGTAAAGCATCTAGTTGTCTGGATAGGAAAGAAAAAATAATATGCCTTGACAGTTTGAGCTTAGTTGTTTGGA